ACATCCCTACGCTATGGAAGCAACGACAGGTCATTAGATGGAATATCATCAAGAACAGCAGCGACAAGAACATGGCAAACCTGTACCAACATCACAGCAAACAACAGTATCTGCTCACAAGACAATACTCCGCAATAAAAGAAATGGAATGTGCCGAGGCAGCGATCTCTGAAGCTAGTCCAACTAACCTCCAGCAAGGCAGGGCAGGACTCGGCTTTAGGCATGACAAACAAGAGAAAATCAAACCTAGAAAACAAATACTCAATACCATTCATGAAGGTGACTGCCAAGACCAGCTATCCCACCTCAAAAGCCTGCAAATGCAAGGCAGCTGGTTAAAGTGGAGAGACACGATGTTTGAAGACCTCACTTGGAAAAAACTGTTGTACGAAGGCTACGGGAGGACTTTCTCCTTTCAACTAAACTGTGTATTAAACACACTACCAACAGTTGACAATCTGAGGAGGTGGGGTAACTCTGTGGTCGAACAACAATGCCCTCTATGCAACAGGCAAGCTACGCTCCGTCACATATTATCAGCATGTCCAACAGCCCTCCACCAGGGCAGATATACCTGGCGCCACGACAACGTACTGAAATGCATAGTAAAACTAGTAAACGAAACCATCCAAACTTATCAAAAGGCCACGGCATCAGCAGAAACGCAGAGTAATCAGAAGAGAATTGATTACATAACTTTCTGCAAGGCAGGAGAGAATCTCCCCAAACAGCCCCCCTCCCAACGCAAACGGCTAAATGACCAATTCGTAACTAGCTCAGCAGACTGGAAGGTCCTGGTGGACATGAAGGATGAGAAACTTGTTTTCCCCCACTTCATAGCACCTACAACCTGTCGTCCAGACATAGTGCTCTTCTCCAAAGAATTGAGAAGAGTTCTGTGGCTGGAACTCACGGTATGTAGTGAAGATCGCTTTGCACAATCGCGCGAAATCAAAATCGAACGCTATCGTCACCTTCATAACGCGTGTGTAAGGAATGGCTGGGAGACGGAAAGTCACACAGCAGAGGTGGGAGCGAGAGGCGCCATATCCACCAGCTTGGATTCCTTCGCGAGATCCTTGCGCTGCACTAAGGAACAGCGCAGGCTCTTGCGGAGGAATTGTCGCCAAGCAGCGCTGAACTCAAGCTATGTCCTATGGCTAAGGCGAAGGGAGCGAACATGGCGCGACTGGCCGTTGTATTAAAACTGTTTGGTGAACCTGTTGTAGAGCACTTGGTGGGCGATCGGCCACCCAGCGAGGATAGTTGGACGTCCTTAAAATCAAGATTTGAACTCGCCATTCCGGCCTCTAAAGGGCCGGGGGTGGACGATCGCCAACCTTGCCAACCTCTCGTAGTCACTTGTTCTTGTCGAATCGTTATTTTCATAGCCTACTCGACATTCGCCCTACAAATTACCATACATCACAACGCAACTACCTGTACATGACACACCATACCATACGGACACAACCACACCCCAACTGTACTGGGGGCCTATCTCTTCGAATTGCATTATATGAGTTTCTTTTTCCTTTTTCTTTACCCGTTACTGTCTAAAAAGCAGTCGAAACGGTTTTTATCCACCATTTGATGGTGAGCATTTCCCTTCTTCTTCTTCTTCTTCTTCTTCTTCTTCTTCTTCTTCTTCTTCTTCTTCTTCTTCTTCTTCTTCTTCTTCTTCTTCTTCACCAAAGTAATAACAAGGATGAAGACAACAATTACTTGTGACTTGACAATGACTCTTTGAGAAATGATTGAAAATTAAGATGTCAGGTTTTTTTATTTATACATGTATAACAGAAGCAGCAGCAGCAGCAGCAGCAGGAGCAGGAGCACCCTTCATCCTCCTTCTCCTACACATGGCACTTGAGAAACGGTACAGCACACATTTCAACTCCTGAGGAATTACTTCCACACGGGGTTCATAGCACCCGTAAGATTTGATTAGTCTTTGCATCAGTTCATTTTTCCTCAGAATTAAACTCTCGGATATTCAGCTTAAACTTCTTCACCTGAAAAGGGGTAAGAGGCTTTGTACGGATTAGAAGTTGGCGGAGCCAGTCTTTCGAAAATTGCTGCGGTTTGCAACTCATTAGCTTGCTGGATCGTGCCCACGACACATGGCTCTTTGGAAGATATGGCTGAAGCTTCTGGCAAATCTCGTCGTGGCCAGCACAGATGCATGTCAGAGCTATGGCATAGTTCAGGCTCTTGTAGCCATTCTCCTTCTTCATGTACTGCAACGGTTCCAGCACACCGTGAAGGTTCAGCAGGACACCGGTCTTTTCCATGAAGCGTACCAGATGTCTATCGACGGCAGTCAATCGCTCCCGAGCGGCATATAACTGAAATACCGCCGCTAAAAGGTACTTTCAACCATATCAGCTCACAGGTCTGGACAATTGGTAAAATGCATTGTTTTTCAGTTGTACCTCCACTACATAACATTACAATTGAAATTGAAGTTAACGTTCGAGAACCTTCGACGGTACGGGTAATTCATTTCTAAGTCTGCTGCAGTGGTGGCGGGGTCGCTATACCCTAATGGTTTCAAACACATCCCAGACAGTCAATCTTATTAACACCACACCCACCACTTTAAAAGCACTTATGTCGCCGAGAGGCACTTCAAAACCATTAAGTCATTAACCCAATTAAATGTGACACCTAGGCCACTTAAAACCACTTCACGTTTCAAGTGGTCACTTAATTACCACTTATCCAATTATAAGGTCAAGGGGACTAATTAACAACCGACGGAGTCGACGGAGTCGACTCCGTCGACGGAGTCGACTCCGTCGGTTGTTAATTAGTCCCCTTGACCTTATAATTGGATAAGTGGTAATTAAGTGACCACTTGAAACGTGAAGTGGTTTTAAGTGGCCTAGGTGTCACATTTAATTGGGTTAATGACTTAATGGTTTTGAAGTGCCTCTCGGCGACATAAGTGCTTTTAAAGTGGTGGGTGTGGTGTTAATAAGATTGACTGTCTGGGATGTGTTTGAAACCATTAGGGTATAGCGACCCCGCCACCACTGCAGCAGACTTAGAAATGAATTACCCGTACCGTCGAAGGTTCTCGAACGTTAACTTCAATTTCAATTGTAATGTTATGTAGTGGAGGTACAACTGAAAAACAATGCATTTTACCAATTGTCCAGACCTGTGAGCTGATATGGTTGAAAGTACCTTTTAGCGGCGGTATTTCAGTTATATGCCGCTCGGGAGCGATTGACTGCCGTCGATAGACATCTGGTACGCTTCATGGAAAAGACCGGTGTCCTGCTGAACCTTCACGGTGTGCTGGAACCGTTGCAGTACATGAAGAAGGAGAATGGCTACAAGAGCCTGAACTATGCCATAGCTCTGACATGCATCTGTGCTGGCCACGACGAGATTTGCCAGAAGCTTCAGCCATATCTTCCAAAGAGCCATGTGTCGTGGGCACGATCCAGCAAGCTAATGAGTTGCAAACCGCAGCAATTTTCGAAAGACTGGCTCCGCCAACTTCTAATCCGTACAAAGCCTCTTACCCCTTTTCAGGTGAAGAAGTTTAAGCTGAATATCCGAGAGTTTAATTCTGAGGAAAAATGAACTGATGCAAAGACTAATCAAATCTTACGGGTGCTATGAACCCCGTGTGGAAGTAATTCCTCAGGAGTTGAAATGTGTGCTGTACCGTTTCTCAAGTGCCATGTGTAGGAGAAGGAGGATGAAGGGTGCTCCTGCTCCTGCTGCTGCTGCTGCTGCTGCTTCTGTTATACATGTATAAATAAAAAAACCTGACATCTTAATTTTCAATCATTTCTCAAAGAGTCATTGTCAAGTCACAAGTAATTGTTGTCTTCATCCTTGTTATTACTTTGGTGAAGAAGAAGAAGAAGAAGAAGAAGAAGAAGAAGAAGAAGAAGAAGAAGAAGAAGAAGAAGAAGAAGAAGAAGAAGAAGAAGAAGAAGAAGAAGAAGAAGATGATGATGAACATGATTGTGGTCTATTTTGAAAGGTCATGATGAGGACGGACATTGTCCAATGGGTACGCTGATGCGGTGTGCTGCGCGGTTAGGAATCGCAACCTCGCTGACGAACATGGTGGAACCTTTCAATGGAGACCTGGATATGACCAAGCAGTTGTTGAAAGTCACCCCATAACCAACTTGATCTGGATTGCTGCCAAGGACATGGCTTCCTGCGGGCGGAAAGAACTACTTGATGTAGTGAAGCTGTTGTTTCCAATTGATCCAACCCCTGATGGGACAGCCCCTAGTACTGCTACTGACAAGTCTGACATTGCTCAACGCTACCTCATGAAGAACCTATCCTGCGTGTTCAAGAAGGTGAAGAGCACCCCTTCCAGTAACAACATTAGTATGATCATCGTGTTGGTTGCAATGCTCATTCTCTTGTGCGAAGAAGTGTCGCTGAGAGGATACGGTCATGAACTGCACTGCACTCTAGTTGAGTTCTTTTATCAAGAACTGCATGCTATTGACGTGGTGCACTACAAGCGTTGTCAGCAAACCCAGTCAACATTCACGAATTTTGGAATTCCACAAATGCTCTCATTGATAACTATTATGTCTATCCTCGCCTGTCTCACTTTGAGCTACATGTATATTATTGGAGATGTACACACACACACACACACACACACACACATACAGGCTACACACCCAATTGGACTGAAGAGGTGTTCGTCGTGAATAGAGTTCTACCCACCCAACCACCCACCTACAACATTCGAGATCTCATGAACGAGCCTATTCAGGGCAGTTTCTACGAACATCAACTGCAGAAAACCAAGGAAAACCAAGTTCCGCGTGGAGAAAATCCTGCGCAAACGCCCCGGACAGTCTCTGGTCAAGTGGAAAGGCTACCCGGACAAGTTCAACTCCTGGATTGACAACGGACAATTGAGCAAGCTCTAGCTGCCGACAAGAGCAATCTTATTCTTATTATCATCATCAACATCAACATCAAACATTGCCATCGTCGTAAACATCATCAACTGTGCAATTGCATTTCACGCAATTATGTTTAGCTATATTAAAAGTCTAGTTAAGTTATGGAGAAAACAAAATTATGTAGTATGTAGAAAAATAATAACATCAACATCATCATCATCATCATCAAGATCAAGATCAGTAACTCATTAGACAAATGGAATTGATATGGTACAGGGTGTGACTAATAATTGTGATTGTCAACCACAACCATCATTGTTCAGTCATCCAGCAGTGCGATGCGGTGGTGCCCATGTGCAAGTGTGCTGACACCGTCCGTTCGGATGTATCGTTTGCTGTCGAACGGCGACAAAGACGACTTGGTCATCGTCTCGGTGAAGATACGATGCGAATGGCTGCGCAGGGTGGTCATTGCGTGTGACATCCTCGTCCTGTCGACCAGACACTGACGGTAGTCCGCGATCGTGAATCTTCTCGTCACCGCTCTCTTGACGCCCTTTGCACGCTGACCACTCTCCTCGCCATCGTACGCGTACATTTTGGATCTGAGCGCCACGAACTCTGTCATGAGCTTCCCTCCGAGCTCGTCCTTAAATTTACCTACAACCTTCTTATTACTCTCGCTGTACAGAGGACTGTCGGGGCTAAAGTTGCTGGTGTCGTACTGATCGGCCATACTCTTCATGTCCGCATAGAGGTCCTCCGTGCGGAACAGCAGCACCAGCGAGTCCGTGTCTGTGTACAGCAGGCTCATGCGGTCTCCGTAGCGTGGCTGGAGCTCGTCATAGTAAAATCTGTACATGAGCTCCTTGCTCAGCTCCAGGATGCTCATGCCAACGTACACCGGCTTGTTGAGGTGGACCGCAAGCTTCCTGTTCTCGACGCCCACAAGCCCGTTGTCGAAGAGGACATGGCGGACGTAGGTGGACTTAGCCACAGCTGTGAGAATGGTATCTTCCTCGTCTTCCACACGCAGCAGTCTAATGGAGATCCTTCTTCTCACATTCTCCATTGTCTTCCCAAACACAGCGTTATTCATTAATTTGAAGAAGTCCTTCTCGAAATCGTTCTTCGCCTTCTTCCGAAGCTCCGTGTTCAGCTGGATGTAGGGCTTCATCCACGGAGCTTGGCGGAAACTGAGCACGCGGTGTACAGCATCGATCCTCAGACCTAGACGACTGTACAGCCTGAGGTTACGGTAGTGTGCTACGTAGCGCTGCTTCGGCATGAGGTTCGGGACCAGTTTCGGAGCACTCAGTCCGGAGACAGGATCTGCTGCAATCAAGTCGCGCTGGTATGGCGACATCATACTCTCGGTGATGGTTACACGCTCCGGTGCGGGTGGGTAGTCGTTCAGGCGATCGTGGAACTCTGTGGGCACTGACAGATCACACTCCACCATGTACCCAGTGTCTGCGTCATCTGGCTGGGTGAGGATCTTCTGCAGGAGTTCGTCACTGGGGGCACACCACTGGAATTTTGATGTCGGCAAGTGCTGCGACATGGCCCAGCCGTACAGGTTGTTCGCGTCGAGGTATTGAAGATATGTTGACGCCTGCTCAGGGTCGTGTGAGCTCATGTACTTGTTGTTCGCCCTGGCGTGGCGGTGTGACGCCATTGTAACACCGCCACGAAGACCGCGCTCGACGAACAGATGCATGTCCACGTCGTCCAGCAGAGTGAGCGAGATTCCTGTATGTTTCAGAAGGGCGTCCCACGCGAATCCAGGCAGGGTGTAGTAGTGTGTCGGGTCCAAATCGTACGTGGCCATTGCAGTGCATCTAAATTTCTCAAACACATCTGCAAGAAGGTGCACATCGGTCTTCAGGTAGAGATCATGGTAGTCGCCCATGTCGCTACAGCCGAATGCAGTCCACACACGCTGGGCATGGCAGTAGTCCTCATCGCTGATGTGGCACTCTGAGAGGCGTGAGTAAAAGTCTTCCTTTGCAGGAAGACCAGTCTCGGAAAACCTAGCGCTGCTGTTCATGTATTCGTAGGGATAGACACCTTTGCGATGCAGGAGATCCAGCAGGGTATTGCTAGACGAGCCTGGTGCACTGCTGCTGCTGCTGGTGCTGCTGGTGGTGCTGCTGGTGGTGCTGCTGGTGGTGCTGCTGGTCGTGCTGCTGCTGGTGGTGGTGGTGGTGCTGCTGCTGCTGCTGCTGCTGCTGCTGCCCGTGGCGTTGCTGCCCGTGGCGTTGTTGCTGTACGACGAAGCCAGGGACTTGAGGTGAAAGAACGAGTCGCGAGGCGTGTTGCTCACTAGCTTGTCCAGCGATGCGTTCAGAAAGGAAAGACTGTCAATGAATCTGAATCTCCCCCACGAGAATGACACATACCGCTCCATATTGTTGGGTATGACAGTAACACGCCCCTTCACCTTGCGTCGACGCCGTCCTTGTCTGTCAATGTACTCCTCAGTGTTCATGGACGTGAGGCCGATGCTGGATATCAGGAGATGTCCATCATACCCTTTCAGGTTGTGAAATACAACGGGGATGGGATGGTGCTCTGGCACGATGCGGAACTTCAAATTGCAGGCGTTGTGTGCAGCTCCTCTGTACAGTCCGGTGAGGTGGTCGTGGTCGCGCACCCGATCAGCACCCTTCAGTTTCTTGCCACAGATCCAGCACTCTGCGGCATTGCGGAACTGCACCTCTTCATCATCCGTGATGATGATAGGACGTATGTTCTTCAGGTCTTCCTCTATGCGCTCTTCCTCCTTGGAGAGCTCTTCGAAAAGCTTTTCAATCGGATCATCTCCTACATATACAAAAGTAGAAAGAACAAAAACAACAACAACAACAACAACAACAACAACAACAACAAATTATTCCTCACTCTTTCCTCTTTTTTTTTCATAAAATATTATCTCTCTTATTGACCACTGGATATTGTGAGAATAAAGATTTAACGACTGGGTATACGATTAACGCTGATATTTCACATTTACACACACACACACACACACACACACACACACACACACACACACACACACACACACATTGAGCAGTACATTTAATTAGTTATGCTGAAGGACTCACCTCTGAACGTGAAAGTGTTCTTCAGTACACCATCAGAGCGTACGACGACATACGACACTGCACATGGTACGTGTTCAGCTTCACGAACAGTTTGCTTCCCATGGCGCTCTGGAGACGTTGCTTTCAGCAGACACTCAGTATCGGCATAGATCACATACGGCATTTTCATCTTCCGCTGTATCTCCGTGAACTTGAGCTGCTCGTCTGCTTTTGGCATCTGGACTGTCGCTGCCTTCACATCGCTGCAGTATAGTTGATGCTTCTTCAGAGTGGTCTCGCTGCGATGTGCGGAGAGGCATCGCATGCAGAAGTACCTCTTCGTCTTGCACTTTGTCTGGCTGGCACATAGAGCGCTAAAGTTCTTTATCCAACAGTAATGGCTAAGGAGATCATCTTGCAGGATCAGGAGATTTATTGCATTGTCACTACCTGATAACTTTATGGGAATGATGTAGTTTTCTTCAAATGCAAACACGTTGATGTTCAGCGAGTTGGCCTTCTCCACCCTGTACACATCATCTATGGTTGCAGGGAACTCTACACCGTCAAAGTTGAGACTCTGCGAATACTGCGCATACTTGCTCACACGTTCTGCATGTTGCACAGCTGGATGCAGGGCAGACAGAAGAGCCCACTTCAGACACTGCTCGTCGTCATTCTTCACATTGATGATGGCCTTTGACGAAGCTAACTTTTTAGGTAGAGGAAGGTACGACGACATGCGCATTGGACGATACTTGCAAATATCAAGATGTGCAGTTTTCACGTTACTCACAGCCCAGCCTGAACCACCTTGCACCCAAGCGTCCACCTTTGCAGTGATCCCGTCGAAGGCGGCGGTTAGTAGACCTGGAATGTTGCTCACGTTCAACACAGTCATAGGCCGGCTTCGGAAAAATGGAGAGGCGTAGACGATTGCACCTGCGGCATTGGGCTTCTCAACAGTGACACAAAGAACCAGTACAGCTTTGAACTGCTGGATGCCTAGCTCGTGCACCATTGTTTCATACAGATCTGGTGATAGATCGTTGAGAACACCAAGAACGTCCTTCTGCTCGTCTAGGAAACTGGCTCTATACTCTCTCAAGAATCCACGAGGAGCTGTACGAGTCAAAGTAAGTGCGGATTCTTTTCTCAATTTTGGGGGTGAAGAGCTGTCATCCTCACCAACTCCCACATCACTATCACCACCGCCGCCGCCGCTTGAACTATGCATCCGCTTCATGTTTCAAAGGAGTAGCGGTAGCACTGTTTCACCAACCTGTGATACAGTTGCGGGTGTGAGCTGCGGTTTATATACTGTGTGGAGTGTGCAATGAGAGTTGGTAGAATGCAGTACAGAGTGCATGCTATTGACAGGTTCTTTTTGCATCGATGTTCGAGATGTTTCTTTGTAATACAAAATACCACCGCTAAAAGTGCTTTCAACCCTATCAACTTACATGTCTGATCTATTGGTAAGAAATGCATTGTGTTTTTCAGTTGTACCTCCACTACCTACCGTTACAATTGAAATTGAAATTTACGTTCCAGAACTTTCGACGGGTGCGATCTTGGAGATGTTTCTGTGACATACAATTACCGCCGCGAAAGGTGCTTTCAACCGTATCAACCTACATGTCTGATCAATTGGTGGGAAATGCATTGTTTTTCAGTTGTACCTCCACTACGTAGCATTACAATTGAAATTGAAATTTAGGTTCCAGAACTTTCGACGGGTAATTCAATTCTAGGTCAGCTGCAGTGGTGATGGACTTGCTATACCATAATAGCTGATCGAGAAAGTGTATTGTATAATAGCATTCAAGAGGTGTATATAAGGAGCAAGGGTGAAGCACTGGTGTTTGACAGACAGTGACGGTAGAAGAGTTGGAGGAAAAAACGAAGAAGCAATCAAGGACTTGACAAAAAAGACATCATCTGCAATAGCGGTAAATGACAGTGCTATGATGATGATGATGATGTGCGTGTTGTTGTTGTTGTTGCTGCTGCTGATTGTTAAATTATATTATGTGGTAGTACAATCATGTAGTCTTTCAAAGTATTGAGTGATCAACTGCTTAGAGAACTGGTTTTTGATGTAGTCTAGAAGTTTCCATGACATACTTGTGCCATTACTCTTGTCTGTCAAGTCACTTTGATCTAGATAACGAATTGCCCACTTCTTGTTCTAGACAAGTGTCTACGAATGAACATACTTGAAAGATTACTCATACAAAGGTAAAAAAAGAAGTTTCTAGAACGATTACTCATAACATATTAATTTGTGTGTGTGTGTTTGTGTATCTGCTGGACTGTGATGTAATATATGGCGGAAGAAGATGGCTGATGGACAAGACTATGATAGTGGCCTCGATTCGGATATCGCCGATGTGATGTGATTCCATTTCAGAACACATTCCCAGACAGTGACTCTTATTAACAACCACACCCACCACTTTAAAAGCACTTATGTCGCCGAGAGGCACTTCATACACCACTTAGTCATTAATCCAATTAAATATGACACCTGGCCCACTTCAAAACCACTTCAGATCTCAAGTGGCCACTTCATTATCACTTATCCAATTAAAAGGTCAAGTGGCCACTTAATTAACAACCGCAAAGTTCAAGTACCCATTCATAAGGTCAAGTGGGTTCAACCCTTGTCCCAGGACCCGCTCGGTCACTACTACTGAGAAGAGGTACGACCTGGGCAGCGTACTTGTCATTCCGTGTCAGCAGTGTTGGATGGAGTATTTGGATACAGATAGCCCTGTAACTGCTCAACACCCTGGCCCCCGTGCTTCCACAAGCAACACCAAAGCTGCTTTGGGTAAGTGCGTTTTTCAATCTCATAAGATTTATTTATGATATTTGCGAGTCATTGCCACCCTATGGCTATGGAAATGTATGAGCACACTGTATGCGCGGCGGCCGCGAGTGTCTGTGTGTTTGCATAGACCTGCATGTTTGTGCATGTGTGCACCATACGCATGTATGAACATGCACATGCATATGCGCTCATGTGGACGTGCCCTCGCACACATACTATACACACGTGCATGACCGCTCCCAGGGCATGTTGGTGTGACATGTGTATGCAGGCATCTCCACTCATGCACATGAGTGTGCACATGCATGTGGGTGGGTACGCACACATGCGTGAATGTATGTGTGTGTACGCGCGCGTGTGTTCTATTGCGTGTGAGAGCATGCATGTGTGTGTGTGTGTGTGTGTGTGTGTGTGTGTGTGTGTGTATGTGTGCACGGATGTGTGTGTCGATGGTGTGCATTTTTGTGATTGGTGAACACTCTGATCCGTAAACCGCGATACCGGAGCTCCCAAGCTACAGCCTCAGATTGATTTATAGTTCATCGTTGGGATTGAGTTCGCTGCTCATGATGCTGTTGCGGATGTTGCGGCCCTAGCTGAAATTGTCGAAGCTCGCCCTGATGCCAGTATCCTGTAGCACTCTGTCACTTTTGCATCAGCATGTTCGGCGATGGAGTTTGCAGAACATCAGCAAAAGCGGGTGGCCACCCAGGGGCGTAGGAGGGGTTTTGGAAGTGGTACGACCGAAGGTCAGTGCGGCCGAAGGCCGTGTTGGAGGGGGGTGCGGGGGACCTCCCCCGGGAAAATTTTGTTAAAAAGACACAAAATCCTGCCTTCTTGGAACTTCTGGCACACTTCAGGCGCAGTACTAGTGTGCAGTCGAGTACAGTACTCAGTACGACTGCAGATGCATAACAGATCTACGAGTACAGAAAATGGTCAAAGTCTGATGCGCATACATGTACTTATGTATGCATCGATGGATCCTAATTGTTTATTACGGTTTTGCACGTTCCAGACGGACCACACTTTTCGAAAAGTGGTACGGCCATGGTCGTACCAGTCGTAGCGGGTGCTACGCCCCTGCCACCCTTCAACCGTTGGTCCAAGCAACGTGCTTCTCTAAGTCAGTTGCAGTGCGGGCAGCTGCCAGTGGGTTGGTGATGAAGCACTTTGTCTTGTCCTACAAACGAAGTGGTGAGCCAGCCATTTCCAGACTGATGAAGGAGCAAGTCGGAGGTAAGAAGCGGGTGACAATCTCAAGGAAGATTATATTAGCGGTGGCTGAACACCTAGCGAAGAACCAGCAGCAACCCAACTGTAAGGAACGCCCTGTGACACAGTGCTTCACTTGTTTGTGCGCACCGTAAAATACCATCAGTTTTGCCAGCGTGGGGACACATTTTAGCTCGCATAGTTGAAGAACAAGAGGACTCAATGTTGTCTGATTCGTTCCAACATGTCAGCTTTCATTGTAGTTTGATATGGGGCAGTGCTAAGCACTATCATAGCTGCATGTACATGTATCACAACCAAGTGCCAACAGGAAAGTAATCATGGAGAAAAGTACCTATCGATAATGCGTGCACCCAGGATTTTCCGGCAAATTTACGAGTTCAGCTATTCCATCCTTGTATTGTTCTGAACGCCGAGGGCTCTAATGAGTTTATGCAACACCTAACAGCCAAAAATCCAATAAGTTATGACCAAAGCAGCAGCAGAGAAGTACAAGCAATATAGAGACGTGAATTTACCAATTTTAGGCAAATTTTGACAGTTTTTTGGATTTTTCTCCAGAATATGCACGGTGACCCCTATTTTCGCCACGGTAAACCTGTTCCGACCCACTTATAGAACGTGTTTGAAGTATCCACATATGGGGCAAACTCAAAAATAAGCTGCAAAAAATATTCAAAGTTTCATTTTTTGCGTCTTTTTGTTCTTCTCCAGGAAATGACGACCTGGATCCCATCGTCAACCAAAGTGTACATTTTTCGGTGTTGATATCATCTTAGTCAATACCTCGAACAGTCTGTAAAATTTTATGTCATATTTTCTGTCCTAACTGATGTTATGGACGATTTCTCATCAATTTTGGGATTTTGTGTTATTTTGTGTCATCAAGGAAAATTGTGTTTTTGGCAAGACCTATTCTGGCAATTGAAAAACTGATGTTACTAAGCGAAAATATAAGGCTGTACCTATTCAAACCTGATGTCAGATTGGGCTGATGTTGAAATTATATTTTTGGGCCTAACTGTCCCGAACCCCAAGGGGGGACGGGAGGTTCGCTGGCCATATTGCGGTGCCCGTTATAAATTCGCTTGAATCTCAGCACTCAAACATCAGAATTCCTTCAAATTTTCAGTATATGTTCCTTGACATCCACTGACGACATTGCAACCAAGAACTGTGGAAAGTATACTGGTATCATGGAGAAATGCAGGAAAGCAATTTTGGAAAAAATGCGATAGCCGGGCATGATTTCTGCGCAGTTTTTCTCAAACATGGTCACTTGAAGATAAACACATAACACTGCAAAATGATCATTTTGCAGTGTTATGTGTTTATCGGACAGCTGCATGTAGATGGGCTTCACGACTTCGAACACAGCCTTTGGGAGAGGGTTCTTATGCTCATAAGCTTGGCGTGCACCACTCTGCGCCTGCTGCCACTTGCACCACGAGTCTGGACCTTCCGGACAGAATTGATGCTGCGGCGTAGCATCTGTTGAGCAGCAGTGCATGAGCCCAGCCCAGATCTCCTTGGCCATTGCTTGCAGGTCTCCGACATTCCTCCTGACAGCATTGCCATAATTGGTCTGGAGACGCTCCATCTGCCTGTCAGTGAGACGGCCCTTTCCACTGAGACCGATGCCATCGCTCAGCTTCATGCCCTTGTGTTGCCGCTTCAGTTCCCGGAGCCTATTGCCAACACGCTTCTGCACATGGCCTATGCATTCTTCCTTGCTGATGGCAACACCATCATAAGGGTCCAGGTCGCACACCTTCTTATAGCCTTTGGAGTCGCCATCTCCGATGTACGACGTGTACATGAGGCCTCCGCGTGTGCCCACAGACCGCTGCCAAATATCGCACGCAGCTTCACTCTCCATACCGGGTGCAGATGCCGCTGTGTTTATGCTGCACTTGTGATTATCCAGCCAGGTTGAAAAGGCTTCCTCCGTGATTGCACCACTTCGCTTCTTCTCAGTCCAGATCTTACATTCGTGACAGTATCGACCCTTCACTGTGATGTCCAGTACACGGCCGCTCTGGAAGGAGATGCACGCGAACACACCATACAGCGACGAATATCCCCTGCGCATCCAAGTGCCGTCGAACGTCACTGCGACGTGGGTGGAATCTGTCATGGCACGCAACTCAGCTGCGGATTGAACCATGTCAGTTTCAGCTAGCTTTACGGCTGCAGCGAGGACAACTTCCTGGTGGCTGCGGTACGCTTTCTCCGTTACAGGAGCAGGAAAATTCATTACGCCGCAAAACTTTCGGAGTCCACCATGGCCACGTCCAATGCATCGCATCGCCAGTACAGATCGTCAATTCAGATCATAGCTCCTGCAAATTTTCTTGCTCAGAGACGTACTTCCACTGTGTCCACACAAAGCGCATTGAAGTCGCAGGGTCGATCCAAGTCCAGTGTCATGACAGTTACTGACGATCATGTCTCCCTTCGTGCACTTCCTACAGACAGTAAATTGATCCATCAGTTCCTGGAGACACTGTAAATCCACGATCTTGTAGCCAGAGACAGACTCCTCAACATCAGGATAGAATGCATCATCATCATACTCCTGGCAGCTATCACTGGACGACTCGTCTGAATCACTGTCACTCGAGCACACAAGCTCAGATTCAAATTCCATGACCATATCACTAAGCCATTTTGGCCTCGACGAAATCTTCCGAGAGGAAGCGCTCTGCGCCGCTTCAACGGTGCCTTCTTCCACAACTGGTACAGAGCTTGACTGCTTTGGGGCGTAGTATCTCCTTTTCTTCCTCCTATGGCCACTTCCAGAGCTGCTGGTGCTTCTCTTTCGGTTCCCCATGTAAAATTGTTCACTTTCACGATCACAAACAAAAAAACAAAGATTTTTTCCTTCGCGTGGGCGTCGTGGCGCTGCAGAACGTCATACGCGATCAAGGAAGCACGTGGCAGCTCTCCATGACTACAAAAACAGAAGCCAGGGTCGCTTACCTGGCGAAGTTGAATCAAAAACGCTTGATTTTGGACTAAACCAAAATCACAAAATTAGGCAATTGTAAACATTTGAGTATTTACAGTTGAAATTTATCTCGACATACTTTAGCTCATAACTCCACTTCTACTAAACCGATTACGCTCAAATTTGAAATTCTGGCGCTTCAAATATCCTAAGACAAGATTCCATAGCAAAAAGTTCAAAACTCAGAAATTCATTTTTTGACCCTCTGAACCTCCCGTCCCCCCTTTTAATTAACAATACAACTTTCTGCGACGCGATTTGCGACAGTTGCGACAAGAAACTGCCTGTCGCGAGCTGTCGCAAGCTGTCGCAAGCTGTCGCAAGCTGTCGCAATGCACCTGTCGCAGAAGTTGAAGAAAGTTCAACTTTTGCGACATGCGACACGCGACATACACAAATGGAGTACAGTTTCGACCCTGGGTGCACGTGCAGTGTACGTGCAGTGCACGTGCATAGTACTACTTGTGCATGAGGATGTCGCAAACATGAAGAATATTGTGAACCGTGTGTCGCTGTCGCAGCTCGTCGCATGCGTCGCAAGTCGCAAGTCGTGACATGCGACTTGCGACACATGCGACGAGCTGCGACAGCGACACACGGTTCACAATAATTATTCTTCATGTTTGCGACATCCTCATGCACAAGTAGTACTATGCACGTGCACTGCACGTGCACCCAGGGTCGAAACTGTACTCCATTTGTGTATGTCGCGTGTCGCATGTCGCAAAAGTTGAACTTTCTTCAACTTCTGCGACAGGTGCATTGCGACAGCTTGCGACAGGTTGCGACAGCTCGCGACAGGCAGTTTCTTGTCGCAACTGTCGCAAATCGCGTGTCGCGTCGCAGAAAGTTGTATTGTGAATCGGGCTTAAGGGTTGGTTCACATAAGCAAAATCGGCGCCGCAAGACATCGGCGGTGAGCCAGCTCCCGATCCGTTGCGCATACGGTTCGAGTACCAAATCTACTACAAAGTAGTACAGAATGTGCCCAAATGCTACGACAGGTTTGCCAATTGAAGCTTGAATTCTTTGTTTCTTCAGTAGTTCAAGGTCTTTCGGTGATGGCCACTCGGTGCTACCTTTTACTGGAGATCATGAAAATACTTCTACACATTTTATTGCAGTCTAGTAAGCGATTGTGTCGAAATTATGCTTGCAAACGTTGGTGAAGTCACAAGAACTTGCCAATGTATCCATCATATTTTTTATTTGATTCAATTGTATTTGTCTCATAAGTTGCACAATGGTCAAGCAGATCATCCGAGAAGGACGGGCTGGTATGCTGACTTATTTGCCACCTTGAAGCGACTACAAGAATGGCGAACGGACCTCCTCTCTAGCTTCAATTTAGTAACATTTGGGACAAGTATTGGTTTGATATTTTGACAAAGTCTGGCTCCCGGCAGCCGGCGATCACCGGCGCGAACGGTTCACAAACCACTTTTGGTCAAAATTGTACGGGATCGGCGCCGGGGCAGATCGCAAGAGTTGGGCACTGTCCAACTTTGCCGGCGGTCCCTTGCGATATTTTACCGTATGATTTTGTTACGACTGCACTGGTTCACACAGTCGCAATGCGCCGGGAGAGGTTGCAAGAAGCCCACCGCCGGTGACTCCCGGCGCGTACCGGCGATATGTGAACCAACCCTAAAGCGGGATTCACAGAAGCTTTTTTGCGATGCGACACGCGATGCGACGCGATCTGCGATGGATGCGTGCGATGCGAACTCGCGAAATACCATTCACAGAAGAAGTCAGCGATGCGACAAAGTTTTGCTGATTTGGGTACGTCACCATGATATTCGCGCGGTTTGACACAACTTGTAAAAATTTATAGGCAACTCTTGCACCTTTGTACAACTTTGCTGTAGAAAAGGTCAAAATCGTACACCAAATCGCTTGTCGCATCGCATCGCATCGCAAAAGTTGAGCCAAGCTCAACTAACTTCTGCGATCGCCCAGTTGCGGCAGTTGCGTGGGCCGCGACATGGCTGCGATTTGGGGTTTTCCCGGTTTCGCGCCTGTCGCATCGCGTGTCGCATCGCAAAAAAGCTTCTGTGAATCCCGCGGGATTCACAGAAGCTTTTTTGCGATGCGACACGCGATGCGACAGGCGCGAAACCGGGAAAACCCCAAATCGCAGCCATGTCGCACCCCACGCAACTGCTGCAACTGGTAGGCCTTGACGGATTATGCTAGCATAATTTTTCGCATAATTTCTACCAAAATCGAATAATCGCATAATTCGAGGCAAATTGCATATGAATCGCATAAATTGGAATAATCCGCCTGTTCGCATCAAATTCCATACAGTTGTACATGTTCTACAAGTACAAGTACAAGTAGATGCACCAGGAAGTCATAGGTTTACGACTCCCATGATAACATATCCAGTCCACTACAATCAGTGACGGTCGTAGCTAGATCGGACAGTGCGTTGACCCCATTGAACTTTTGCTACTACAGTACAATGCCCTCTACAAAAAAATTCCCCTGTTATTTTGCACAGAACCATTATACATTAGCAGCATATGTGAGCTTAATGCGGCATAATATGATAACTTTTAGCATAAAAATAGCATAATTCTGCAATTTTTTCAGCAATGCGAAAAGCATAATTTCACGAAAATATTAGCATAATCCGTCAAGGCCTAGCAACTGGGCCATCGCAGGCCATCGCAGAAGTTGAGCTTGGCTCGACTTTTGCGATGCGATGCGATGCGACAAGCGATTTGGTGTACGATTTTGACCTTTTCTACAGCAAAGTTGTACAAAGGTGCAAGAGTTGCCTATAAATTTTTACAAGTTGTGTCAAACCGCGCGAATATCATGGTGACGTACCCAAATCAGCAAAACTTTGTCGCATCGCTGACTTCTTCTGTGAATGGTATTTCGCGAGTTCGCA